AGGTGAAATATATATAAACACGTGGGCTTTTAAATTGCATTCATTTTAAAAATATCCCATTGTAACTGTCTTTCACAAAAACATTAGGAAGGAGAATTTTGAAATAATGAAATATCCAATTTCAGCTAATTGCCTATACTCAGTTATATCACATCTTAATGGGAAACCTGCTAAAGACCCATTGGCCTATGCAAATGAAAAACAACTTTGCCACTATGAATTCTGTAGCTATGATTGTATACCACTTTATCTCCCTATTTGATGGCCAGTCAACTTAATGAGCTTCATTGCTCTGGGTTTTGCAGAAAATAACTGAGGTAGAGGCTTCTAAATATTCTGATAATGCAAAATGATTTCTACTTCAAACATTTATATCTAGAAATGTTTGACATATATATGGATGTGTGTATGTATGTATGCATGTATGTATGTATGCATGTGTGTATGTATGCATTTGTATATGTATGCATGTATAAACCCCAGTGTTCAAAGGGTCTTCAAATTAATCTAGGATGTAAAAATAAAAGTTTTGTTTTTCCAGAACACTTAGACTACATGTATAGCCAACTAGAATTTATGAAGGTTCTAACATATACTTGCTATTTTTAGAAAAAAATTGGTGAGTTCTGTGCTACTCTGTACTTGGGTTGAGGAAATCCTATGCTTAGGGAGGTAAAGGGTCCTGTTTAAGATTAGTAACAACAGATGCAGGGGCCAGGATTCAAATCTACTTCTTTGATTCCACAGTTTTCTTTCATGACTGAAGGAAATAGCATATTTTTTCATAGTGCTTTGTTTTCTGGATATGAGACAAATGACTTATACCAGTTGGAACAATAGTGCATAGCAGAGAATGCCATTTTTTGTTTTTCAGAAAAGGAGTCACTCTTTTGTTATGAAGTCAGAATCAGTGATTGCATTTACTACAGAGGTTGTTTCTCTCACATGAAAAACAGTGCAAAATACTAAGAAATGCTTATAGCAAATGACTAATAATTTTTGGTTAGCAAGAAGACAGAAAAAGGGGAGAAATAGTTTGCAAAGAAAATCCCATTATTTAACATAGCTGGAATAAGTCTATTTTGTGTGATGAACAAAATGTAGACTAGTAGGCACTCTGCACCCTGCCAAGGAACAGGAAGTCAAGTAGGGGCAAGTGGTGAGCTTAGCCTCACGCTCTCAGTCTACCAGAACAACACCTTGGACTCTTCACAAGCAAGTGGACCTCAACAGCCATCCCTACTGGTAGGTTAATTCTATTTAGTGATTCCTAGGCTTAGAGTCAGTTCTTGCTCTTTATCACTTTTTACCCTAGGGAATTCTTTTATTTTTTTTTAAGATTTATTTACTTACGCATACAAGAGCTGGGGTACAGGCCAGAGATGCGGGGAAAGACAGGATTCACCAGAGACAGAGTGGGGAAAAGAACAGTCAGATTGACTGAAATACACTGCTGAGGGGAGCAGCGGGTGAGTCAGGAGAGGCCTGCTGTGCCATGTGGGTTGCTCCCTGGCCAGCCGGGGATCGAACTCATGCTGCAGAGGCTGCAATTTCTTCATAGTGCGGTGCTTAACCCCTTGGGCCACCAGGGAGGCCCTACTCTAGGGAATTCTTCACTATGTCTAATTTAGCCTGAATGTGCTTTATGAATGGTGTTACCAGTGCTCTGCAGTTCAATACAGTTTTTCAATACTGTTACAGGAATGGATCTGCACAAGGGATTCCAACTTGACTGCAAATCTAGTCTGTATTACTTTCTATATACATGCCATTGGAAGTGCCATTACTTAATCTTTCTGAGAATCAAAAAATTCTAAACCTTGATTCTCAGAAAGGCTAGGAATAGAATAGTCATGACTTTGCCCTATTTTTATTCTTAATTGGTTGCATATTTTGAACGTAATTTCATTAGCACTGATGAAGTTCTTTTTCCACAGCACAGAATCTTAACTCAGTAATGTTTTCTTGATAGAATGATGTCCCTTTCTTTTGCTAACTGTTCTGTCCTTTCCTGGACCCTTTCCACATATCCTATTTAGTATGCAGAATTGAAATAAGCCAGAAAGAAAAAGAAAAACACAGGATGGTTCACTTGTAAGAGAAATGTTGGGATTGGGGTGGGGGGGGGAGTAATTATAACAAAGTTAAAATCAAAATCAACAAGCAACTATAAACCAGAGATGTTCTTCAGGGTGGGGGGGAAGAGAGTAGGATCAAAACAGGGGTGGGAAGAGCACAAGGGACTATGGTGATGGAACACGGGTGAATGGACTGTGGGAATTTCACGGGGACTATAACCGAGATGAGAAAGCATACATTGTACAAGAAAAGAAGAACGATGTAAAAAATATATAAAATTTAAAAAAAAGAATTCAAAACTGATAACAGTCTCTTGAAGGTTATGACCAGCAGCTGAGTTTTGTGGAATTGTTTTAAACTGTGACACTTCCCAGAAAGAGGAAATTGAAGCGGGATATGATGGGTACAGTCACAAGAACCCACAAAATGGCACTGCAGGCACCTGAGAAACATTCTCAAATTCAAGTGCAGATTGTTCAGAGGTGGGGGAGACTATTTCCTCTTGTGTGTTCAAGTTGTGTCTTTGTCTTAACTTTTCCAAGTTCTGTATATCTGAAATGTAGGAGTATTCTTATTCTGGCCCTAAGTTTTTTCTTAGGGAATTGAAGATAAGCCAATATGTAGAAAAGTTTATTTGTAAACATGTTTACTAAGTACTAAACCATAATCTTGGTAATTAAAATTTAAAATATAAATATTAACTTAGCAGTGAAGCTGACTCAAACAATAATTAGGATTACTCTCACAAATTATTATTACTTGTATATTTGCTCTTCAAAGTATAGTAGAGACACCAATTTCTGACTGTCCTTGCACACACACATATACCTCTAAGGAAATACAATACCTATCTCCACTTTATAGAAAAGGAAAATGAAGCACAAAGAATCCCAGTAATTTCTGCTTCAAAGATTAAAAAGTGCCTGAGCCAGATTTAAACTCAAAGTCTGGCTAAGATCCGTAATCTAGTCCACCCCGTGTTTTATTACAGAACCAACTGTTATGAACTGTTGGTTGAGAACTTGTGTTTTTTTTTTAAGGAACAGAACAAATGTTAGAATGATGGAAGGCATTCAGTTGAGAAAAAATGACTTAATTGCCCAGAGTTAAGTTCATATATCCTACCATCTCTCACTTTCTGTTTTTGTTTTGCTTTCTTTTCTTATTTACTAGCAGAACTAAATGATTTGATGTACTACACCATCAAAATACAAGAGGAGGATGGGCAAGAGGAGTTATCCTTTGGGGGAAACAGGAGAGATGACATTCCTTTCACTCACCCCCGCTGTGAGTTTGGGGACATTCAGTGGGTTTCCTTAGCTGAAGCCAAGAAAGGGTATATGCCATGAAGTGTTGATGAAATCTACGCTGTGATAGAAAGGAAGGACTAATATCTCCCATCCAAGTGGACATCTACTTACCTATGGAGGTTGATGACTTGGCCTATTGCTAGTGAGGTTGCAAAAGAACCCCGGGAAGAGAATATGCCATTAGACATAGAGAGAGGGAATAAGCTCTCTCTGGTAAATTCCGGCTAAAGGTTTTGGAGAGGAAAGCTGCTCCTATCTGCAACCCGCACATTTGTAGCTGCTAAAGACAGATGAGAGAGGGGACTATAAGTTTGTGAGGGTCTCCTACTCAGGCAGAACAGGGCGTGCATCAGAAGGGGAGTGCTACTGCTAGGGGGCTTGTGAAGAGATAGCTGTGTCTCCCAGGGGACCACATGGCCAGAGTTGTTATTTAAGCTCATACCGTGAGCGGATGTCCAGTTCTCTACTTCTCCAAGTATTGGTTATCACCTGAGATAACCAACAAAAGGGGGCAGTCAAAGTAGAAAGGTAAGAAACTGCCAGCTCCCTTTCCCTTCTACTTGCCTCAGTACTACCAGAGGAAAATTCTAAGTGAAAGAAAGATCATCTCAAGAGAGAAGACCACACCTCTACCAGCTCCAGAAGGTTTTTGGGGGAGCTCAAGTATTAATTATGTTGTAAGGAGGGATAGAAGCCTGAATAAAACATAAGGCTTGATGTGAAAATGACATATAATGGAGATTTGAATCGAAATACCATTAAAATAGTCTAATTTTCACTGGGAAATAGGCTGAATAAAGCACAGAGGGTAACAGATACTGGAGAAATGAAATGATTTATTTTTTATAGATTAACTAATTAAATATTCTCAATTGAACCAGTTGCAATTATAAGGTAAGTAAAGGAAATATTAACTCCTCCCCCAACCCCTCCAGCTTTTATCTGATTTGGTAATTTAGGAATACAAAAGCTAAGTCAGCCACAAGGAAACCCCCAGAAAATACCTTCCTTCTCAAGTCTTGCCCCACTTCCTCACACGCTTTATGGCACAGCCTTGAACTGCTCAATGGCCTGCAGTACCTCATGCTTGCTCATGTAAATGTTTACGCTTTTGTACATGCTCTTTTTTAGGCTCAGAAACTTTCCTTCCTATACATCTCAGGCAACTATCCACAGATACTTCAGTTCTCAGCTTGAGTTAAAACCAAACACGGACCATTTATTTACAATGTCTTCACACACCCAGTTCTCTGAAACTATCTTTACCTGCTCCCCATCTTTTAAACCAAATCTCATGCAGAGTATCCTTCCTGGATCCTCACTTAATTCCTTATAGCGTACAAATTCCCTTGTGATGCTTACACTGCATCTAAGTATGTGTTTGGACTTCTGTCGCACCTCTAGACAAGACAAGAAAGGAAGAGAAAGAGATCTTATCTCACTCAGTTAAATCTAGGAGCTAGCACAGTGCATGGCACATAAGGTTCAGAGGTATTAAGAGGAATGAGAGAAAGTGAGTGAGGCAGGAGAACTGAAAGGGGAAATTTCCCAGGACTTGAAGTGCTGAGGCTGCACAATTTAAGAGAAGGCTCTGCGTTATTCTTCTCTTACCCTTCCAAGGAGATGGCTCTTTGTAGAGTCACCGAAGGCTGGCGGGTTGCAGTACTGTGTTGGGAATGACTGCAAGAAAGAAAAACCAAACACAGACCATTTATTTGCAATGTCTTCACACATCAGGCTTGTTGTCAAGAAAAGAACCAATCTTGAGAGAATTACATTATGCCTTAATTGTTCTTCGGTAATAAGTAGAATCATCACTAACATATATCGCTTTACCAAATAAGGGGCTAGTATTTTCTTTTTTTTTTAAGATTTATTTATTCATAGAAGAACTGGTGTATAGGCCATAGGTGTGGGAGGGTTGAGAGGATTCATCAGAGACAGAATGAGGAGCAGAACAGGCAGATCTACTGAAATACACTGCTGAGGGGAGTAGCTGGTTAGACAGGAGAGGTCTGCTGAGCCATATGTGGGTAGCTTCCTGGCCAGGATGGAACTCAGGCCACAGGGGTGATAGCATGATAGAGCTGAGACTAAACCCCTACACCACCAGGGAGGCCCATAAATATTTTCTTATAATTTTATTTCAACATGTATTATTCACAAATAAGTTTTAAGTGACAAGCATACATGAAAAAAAAAAACCAAACATGATTGGAAAAAGGCATTTTCTCCCTTAGAATATGACACAAGGTCTAAGAACATAAATATCATTATGATACAATGTATTATTTTTAAATGAAGAACTTTTTTTCCTAAAATAATTTTAGTAGCAACAATTTGGAATATTGGACTAATATTTAATTATTAAAAATTAAATTTGTTCATTATTTCAAATTTGCAACACTGGCTTATAAAAGTAATAAAAATTCACCTTGCTCATTGAACAAAAAAACTTAAAAAATGGGACTTACAGTTGTACAGCAACCTTAAAATTTAATGTAATTCCATATTTTGTTTTGGTTGCATAGTGACAAAAGACTGCAATAAAAATGACAATATCTAACATTTATTGAGTACTTAGATGCCTCAGTCACTTCTCTAAGTTTATATGTTTACAGTTTTCATTTCTTACAATTCTATGAGGTATGAACTGTTGCATTTAACAGATGAGAAAATTAAGGTACACAGAGGTTCAGAAATTTGCTCAAATTCGCGTTGTAAATAAATACCTGTACTTGAAATGGCATCTAGACTATCTGATTTAGGGCCATTATCTTTAACAGTGTTGTGAACCAATGCTACCTCATTAAAAAAAATAAGTTAAAATATTTTCCATCTAATCTTAGAATATGCTATAAACATATTTTGACTGACCAGTGGAAGGCAGCATAGCATTCAGGAGCTGGGCCATGTTGCCAGACTGCCTGAGTTCAAATCCCAGCTCCACTGCAAACACCATTGTGACCTTGCACAAGATTCTTAAAACTCTCTGGATGTAAGTTTCTCAACTGTAATACTGGGATAGTAACAGAACCTTCCTCATGGGATTATTATGGATGCGGTGTTTAGAACAGAGGCAGGTACATGGTAAAAAGTACATGTTTGTTAAATAAATGAACTAATATGATATGACAGATTTAAATTTACTTTGAGATGTTAGGTACAAATTAGAATAGTTATTTCTATCACTTCAATTAGCCGTATAGTCAATACCACAGAGTACATATGAGTATAATATACCTTAAGTGATCAATAGCAAATTAAAATATATTTTTATATATTGTAAAAACAACATCAATGGAAATAAAAATAAGAAAAAATAAAAAGAAATCCACCCAGAATTCCATTACTTTGGAATTATTGAATTCTCAGATATTATAGAATTATCTAATTTAATTCTTGCAGCTGTCTTACTATGTAAGAAGAACAAAATACAGAGAACTCAAATAATTTGTCAGATATAAACAGATTGCAAACATGGAGTCGGAAGTCAAACTAAAGCCTGTCTTGATGCCTTGTGTGTGTCTGTTCCGCTCTTTGCTACTGACTCTCTAGAATGCCCCAGCAACATGCTAAACAAAATATATTTCAGTTTTTCCTACCCTTTCTGCTCTTCTTTGTGCAAACAATGGTCCTCCAAGGACTGTTGTCTTTATCCAAGTATCATTTGGTTGTGAGCATGTAGAGACCAGCCCAGCATTTTCACTCTAACCTCATCTGCCAAACTCCCATTTGTTTCTATATAGTACCTTGTTGGTTGCAAATCTATCATCTAACTTATTTTATCCTTTCCTTTACCATTTGTCTTCCACTGGTTTAGAAAATACCAAATGTTCATCTTGGTTAACAATCAATGATGCTTACTAACCCTGATCGCTTCCTTACCATTGACCTTGACCACATGATTAAAACAAAGACATATTCAGTGATCTCTCTACAATTGTCACTACTTTAAGCTGTTTGCTTTATTACACTTTCCTAAATTGCTCTAATAATGTCCCTCTTGAAATTTTAGTGTGACTTAAATGCAAAAGTTACCACGAAGTGCTCATAAAATTTCACTCTTTTTAGATTATACATGCAGAGTCAGCCAGTTTCTCCTAGCATGTAAATTTGAAAGAAACAGAGCCTTTTACAACATGCAATCATCCTTTTACTTTGCTAAGACAAATACAATGAATTATCTGATAATCAAGACCTATGAAAGCAAGGAAAGTTTTGTTATTCTGTGAGAGTAATCTTTAAGCTGTACTTGCATGGAGAGTACTGGAAGCAACCAGTAGCTTCCAGCCATTATTATCACCTGGTGGTGATGACTGACATTTAAAAAATACCAATTGTATTCCCCTTAAGAACAAACAGGTCACATCTTTCCATATTATTGGCTACATAGGCAACATGCTGCTAACACTACCATGACTAAAATATTTGGAACAGGTAGCCATTGCCTGGTTCTTTCACCTTCTCAGCTAGAGAGCCTAGTCACATGGAATTCCAAGAATTGCAGTAGAAGGTAAGAAAGGAGAAAAGCACAGCTAATACTTAAGACTTTCGACACTGGCGAGTTAAGTACCTGGAATGCTCTTTGTCTTAAAAAGAGTATACCCACAAATGACCATCCTCCTCATATCTAACATTTTCCCAGACATATTCTAGAGGCCAAATACCTCCTTTGAAACATTCTACAATGTGTCTCTCTACTGCTCAGCAGAGTTGACACACTGTTCTGCACCCCATCCCATCTTTCCCACACATACACAATATCACCCAGAACTGAGAACACCAGCATTTATTCATGTGCTTGTTTGTCCTACTAAGTTTTGTTTGCTTTCAGATCCATACATACACTCTCAGGCCTGAGCTGTCTTTTGTTTTTTTTTTTTCTTTTGTTTTTTTTTTTTTCTTTTGTTTTTTTTTTTTGAGGCATGTTTTATTTATTTGTTTGTTTTGTTTTTATACATGCACTGGGTACAGTCAGAAGCATGGGAGGGTGAGAGAATTCACCAGAGCCAGAGCGGGGAGCAGAGCAGGCAGAAGGACCTAATTTAAATAGAAGAGAATGTCTCCTTTCATATCCCATCATAATACAAAATATGATCTAACCAAAAGTCCATCACCTTCTTGCACGAAACTGAATATTCTCCCTGCTCTTTTACTTATATTTAACATGAGTTGACTTGTATAATTTTTATATGTACTGGTTACATTTAACAAATGCTAATTGGGAACTTACTACATTCCAGGGATTATGATTGGTGTTTGTGTAGTCTATTGTATCAATAGATATAAGTAGATTATGTTATTGATTGTGTCATAACTAAGTATAATATAAGGTAAGTTTTAAAAGTTAAGGTAAATAATGAAGGTAACGCAGGTATTTTTCCCCCTATATGATAAGTGTTGTCTCCAACTTTTTAACTAATAAATCAGTCATTGGATCTGCTTGTGTGCATTACAAGAATTTCTTTTTTTTTTTTTTTAAGATTTATTTATTTGTTTGTTTGCTTGTTTATTTATTTATGCAATCACTGGGTACAGTCAGAAGTGCGGGAGGGCAAGGGAATCTACCAGAGTCAGAGCGGGGAGCAGAGCAGGCAGAAGGACCGAAGTACACTGCTGAGAAAGCAGAGGGCCACAGGAGAGGTCTGCGCACCATGTGGGACCCTCCTCCAGTGGCCGGGGAGCAGCTGGGGATTGAACCAGCGCTGCAGAGGCTGCAGGCAGCCTCACAATCCAGTGCTCAACCGCTGTGCCACCGGATATCTATTGTTTGAATAGTGTTTGAGTATTTACATTATCACCCATATATTAGCTTTCTCCATAGGAGACTTCACAGTCTTCTAACACATGAAATCTAGAGAGAGTTTACACTGCACAGTCAAAATGTGGTTAAAGTGATATAAGAACCAGATACAACTTCTAACTCATGGTTTTTCCTGCTCCAAGCCATTGTCATTTTTATATATTCACATTCATCTTTGTGACTAGTCTGTGATGAAAACAGTCACCAAAACATTAGCCATCCTAAAAATCTTGCTGATCACTCTTAGGGAAGTGCAAGGCTCTGAGGGTGCTCATCAAGGATTGATTTAATGTCCATGACAAATTATTTGCCTATAGTAGTAACAACAAATTCCAGTATCTTGCTGTGTGTAGTGAACAAAATGGCATATGACTGGTCCCAAAGTCTGGAACATCAGGAGCAAAATTGTTTTATTTTAATACAACAGACACATTCCTGCTTTTACTCATTGTGTTTTTGGATGTCTAGTTGCACATGATTTTTCTGGATCTTCATAGTATTCAAGCTCCATCTTAAGAGGTAATGGATGAACATGTATCAAAAAACTCCTTTCTACACAGACTATTCTTCAAATGAAAAATAAAATATTGAATTACATAATAAGTTAAATCAAGTTTCAACTAGTCTCATGAAAATAGTTACTTCCAAAAGGCAAAAATATTTTATTTAGGAATTTTACATAATCTATAGATAAGTAATATAGCATATAAGACAATTAGAGAATATGGACTTGGAAGATTTTTGTATAGCAGTTGAGATTTTAGGTATCTATCTAATTGATATGGTCTGTGAATCACTTCATTTTACATAGGAAACAAGTTTTTCAGCATAATACATTCTGTTTTTTCTATTCTTTAACAACATCTGGGAAAAG